AGGGGGACTGGATGGGTGACCTGTCGGGGGACTGAACAGGTGACCTGTGGGGACTGGACGGGTGACCTGTTAGGGGGACTGGACGGGTGACCTGTCGGGGGACTGGACGGGTGACCTGTGGGGGGACTGGACGGGTGACCTGTGGGGACTGGACGGGTGACCTGTGGGGACTGGTCGAGTGACCTGCCGGGGGACTGGACGAGTGGTCTGCCAGGGTCCCTGTGATTGTCAGTGTGTGGTCTCTAACACCCCTGATGTCAGGCCAGGTGTGTGGCTGACAAGTCCTGTCTCTTTGGATAAGCCTTCACTGTACAGCTGTCACCTGAACCCTGTCTTGCCCCAGGCCTGAGCCTGGATCGGGCAGCCTCCTTTCTGTCCCAGGCCCGAGCCCACCAGACCAACACAAAGCTGTCCCCAGAGCAGGAAGCCTCCTCTTTGTTCCCCAGCAAGGCTGCCCCGGGAACGTGAGAGGTGGGGTAGGGCGGCTCCAGGTGGGCTGGAATGGAGTCACAGGTGTGGAGTTGGTACATGGAGCCTTCTGGAACCAGCAGGGAAAGCAAGAAAGGCTGCCAGCACCTGCATTACCTTTTGGAGGTTGCCTTTCTGCAAGATGGGGTGTCACCCTGGGTGCAGTCCTCTGGCCACCCCCAGCCTGTGAGTGCCCTGGTCCCCCTTGTTCATTGTGGGAGGGAGAGTGAGGCCAGGAGCAGGATCTATGGGACCCTTTCCAACATCTGCTCCTAGTGTGCTGATAACCACAGGAGGGAGCCAGGACAGTGGGGGAACATCCCACCATGCTGAAAAGCCACAGTGGAGAAAGTGGCCCTGTAACAGCCTTTCTTCCTTCTGAGTGAGCACCATCTGGTGGGGCATAGGCTGTACCATAGACCTTGGTGGGAAGGAGGTGCTGTAGGAACTAGCATGGGGCAGTACTGTGGAGGAGTGAGGGAGTAGAACTCTACACTGAGAGTAAACTCCATGTGCTGTCTGGCCAAGAGGAGGCCCAGGATGAAACTTAGGTAGAGCTTCCAGAAGAGTCTGCAGCAGGGTTGCTGCTGGCTGAGAGGCGTGTCCGGATGAGGGAACCCCACAGTGGGCTGTGAGTGGGGTGACTGGTAAGCGCGTGTCCTGTCAAAAGGGAGCGGCTGCTGCTCGGTCCAGCCCGTCGTCATCTCGTGGAAGGAGATCTGCGGGACTGTTCAGTGAGAAGCCAGACAGCCCTGTTGTCTATCTGTAAATACTAGCATATGGTTATGAAATCTTTTCCTCGATGAGTACGCATGTCCTGTCTGTGGGCTGGGTTTATCGTGGGGGCCACCTGGGCACAGCCTTGGTCCACAGTGCATTCTGGAAGCTGGCAGCTGGCGGCTTTTGTTCAGGAAAGTTGGGCATTGAGGCAAGGCCACTTTTCTTTTTAGATGATATTTCATTGTTTTTTTGGTGAAAGTTTACACAGCAGGTTAGGTTCTTCTCTGACAGTTTCCACACAGAGTGATCAGTGACATTAGTTACATCTTTCACTGTCAGCGTTCTCGTTAATTGTGTTCTGGTTGTTCATTTCCCGTGCTCTAGTTTCCCTGCCCCGTAACGTCTCGTCTTTGCTGCGGATTCGATGTTGACCTTTTGGAGTCTAAAAGGTGTTGTTTTAGTAGAGCACCAATCTGACGGGTAATATCCTTTATTTTGTGTCACCCTGCTTTTCTGTGAAAAGGTGATCTCGGGATGGTTTGGGATCAAGGTTTAAAGAGCGTCTCAGGGCAGTCGTCGGAGGGAGTCCTCTGGTCTTGGGTGGTCCACTTAGTCTGGGGAAGTGACCTGTCGGGGGACCGGACGAGTGACTCCTGGAAGCCCCCAGAGATAAGTTCCTAGCTCGGCTCCAGCTGCAGGAGCCGCAGAGATCTTTTCCATCTTACCAGTGCCGTTGTGGAGCTGGCACTGTGTGCCCGTTCCCAGCCTGCGGGTAGCGGCCTCGCTGTCTTGAATCCTTTAGTTTCTGGGTGTCGTCCAGCTAGTCCTGCTTGGATGACGAGGCAGCCAGGGATCAGAGAGGGCTGGTCACTTGCCTCGCAGGCTGCAGTGCCATGATTCAAACCCACATCCACGTCGAGAATACCAGAGCAGAGAAGAGAAACAAATATTCCAAGAGATGAAGTGTGCGATGGGTCAGTTCTGATGAGCAAAGCTTCGAAGGGGTTGTTCACGGCATCTGATATTAGGGAAGAGGGGACTAGAGTGAGAGAAGAGACCCCGGACCACAGGGGCTGAGGTGGCAGATAACAGTGACATCATCATTGACAGCAGTAAGGACAGTAATAATAACAGGCAGCCCTTCTCCAGTGCTGACTCTACCAGGCACTGTTCTTGGTACTTCACATACGTGTTAACTGATTTGGCCTTCCTAACAGACTCTCTGAAGTGTGTGCTACTAGTGTCCCATTTCCCAGATGAGAACACTGAGGCCCGGAGAGGCCAGGCCACCCAGCCAGCCTCTGGGGGAGCTGGACGCCACCCTGGCCCCCTGAGAACTCTTCTCTCTCTCTCTCCGGCAGACGGTGGCTGAGTGCGTCCTCTACTACTACCTGACCAAGAAGAATGAGAACTACAAGAGCCTGGTGAGGCGGAGCTACCGGCGCCGCGGCAAGAGCCAGGTGAGGGCTGGGGGTTGGGCCGGGCACCCGCGATTCCCACGCTGCCCTGTGTACTTAGCGCCAGCTGGCTCCCAGCGTGCTCTTCCTCTCTCAGGGCTGGCTGCCCTAGGGCGACCCTCTCTGGGGATCGTCACCCCACCCAGCCTCTGCAAGCTGACCCCAGCAGTAAAGAGTGCTGGGGGAAAAGGGCCATTTCCATTATCAACCTGGAAAACTTAGGGGACTCCCGGCTTGGAGACCTGTGGTCTCTATGGCCAAACAGGCCATGTTCCCAATGGGTTGGGTTGGGTTCCCAGGGTGACCTGAGGTATTCCACACACTGACTTCTTAAAAATTTTAAAAATCATTTTAGATGTTTATTTTAATGCATGTTTGAAAAAAAGTAGCAGGCACATCAACCTGCAATTTTTCAGACAGTATACTTAGGATGAGACTGAAGGATTATCTTTGTTAGAGCAGGGGTCAGCAGACTAAATCCGGCCCCCTGCCTGTGTTTGCGAATAAAGTTTTATTGGCACGCAGCCATGCCCGTTCATTTACATGTGGTCTGAAGCTACTTTCGTGATACAGTGGCAGAGTTGAGCGGTTGCCACAGAGACCGTATGGTTTGGGAAATCTAAAATATTTACTATCTGGAGCTTTACAGAGAAAGTTTACCAACCCCTGAATTGGAAAAAGGAGTTGGTTGAAAAACATATTCAGTAAGTAACGGTAAAGATGAAGGGAACAGTGGCCCATTTTAAAGGAGCACCTGGAGAGTGGGTGGTGAAGAGCAGGGATAGGTCCCTTTTGTTTCCAGGCTGTTGAGAGTCAGCTTCGAGCAGGTGCTGGGACATCCTGGGAGGAGGTGGGCGCATGCTGCGATAGATGGGATTCAGGCTGGACACAGAGAGCGTGCTGGGGCGCTGCTGTTAGACGCTGGCCTGGAGGGGGTTGAGGCAGTTCCTTCCCTGGGGGTCTCTGTGGTGTGAGGGGTCCAGGGGACAGTGATGAAGGCCAGGAACAGCATGGGCTGGGATGCTAGGACCCCGAGCTTGCTTCTGTCTCCCTGGCATTGATGTCCTCCCCCTCCCCCAAGTTTGCTGGCTTTCCCTTTCCAGGATCCACTGAGAAGTAGCCCCTTGGTGATGAGGTCCCGGCCTGCATTGGGCTGCTCCACGTGGCTCCCTAACTGAACCGAATGCCACCTCCTCCTGCCTCCCAGACAGTGTGCTGCAGGAGCACGAGCCCCTCTCCCACGGGCCTGTGGACGGGGAGATGAACAGCCCCTCGCTGGGTTCTGAGCCCTGGGCTGCAATGACTGCGGCATTGAGCATCCTGCCCTGTTGCACAGATCCTCCCAAGGGTGGCAGTGTTTGGTCTGTGGGCCGGTGTCCTGTCCAGGTCTGTGTAGACACAGTGGCCAGCCTGCTCTCCCATTCACCAGATGTGTAAAACCGAGCTTTAGTGGCGTGTTGTTATTAGATTCAGTCAAGTTGGTTCCGACTCATAGCAAGCTCATCTGCATCAGAATAAACCACTGCTCAGTCCTGTGCCATCCTCACAATCATTGCTGTTTGAGCCCATTGTTGCAGCCACTGTGTCGGTCCATCTCGTTGAGGGCTTCCTTTTTTTTTGGCTGACCCTAGTTTACCTAGCATGATATCTTTCTCCAGGAACTGGTCCCTCCTGATAGCATGTCCAAAGTATATGAGACGAAGTCTTGCCATCCCTGCTTCTAAGGAGCATTCTGGCTGTACTGCTTCCAAGACAGATTTGTTCATTGTTCTGGCCGTCCATGGCGTATTCGATATTTTTGCCAGCACGATAATTCAGAGGTGCCGGTTCTTTTTCAGTCTTCCTTACTTATTGTCCTGGCGTAGTGCTTTTTAATTCCAGAGAACTAGCTGTGGCGTTTTAGAAAGTGAAGTGCATTCGGGAATTTTCTAGACTGAGAGGCAAAAACTGAAATAAACTGAGTCAGAGAGCACAAGTATGCTGAAGTGAGAGTCAGGAGAGAATGGTGGGGACTGTGGCAAAACAGCTGGCTCCACACTTGCCCTTACAGGGTCCGCAGGGGCTGTTAGACCATAACCACCGTGAGTGATGGGACAGCCATATGATTGGCCTGTTTGCAAAGTGACCGTTACCTGTCCAAATGCTGAATCGCAGCCAGGGCAGTGATGCCCCATCTGTTCACGGGACACCCCCCTGTGTAGACGTGCAGCGGGACCTGTGGACCTCCATGCCTGGCCCTTCCCTCCCTCCTCATGCCCCCTGTCCAAGCAACCTGTCCATCATTCCAGTGGTTGGGCTCCACCCCTCGACGGCTCCCCATGAGAGCCAGGCTCACCCTAGTATCCCTGTGCCAAGGCCATCCAGAGTGCCCCAGTCCCATTGTCTGGCTTTTCACCTTCCTGATGCTTCTCTGTGTGCTGACGAAGGGAGACGCAGACCCAGGCGTAGACTTTTGGAATGGTGGCCCTTTGCACCCACCCTCCCGGGACCCCACCCCCATCCTGGGCCCTGGCCCTGAGAACCAGCCGTGTGCGTCTGGTTGCTTGTGGGCTTGACCTCTGGCCAGGCCTCCTCGCCTGCCCCCTGGCCCTGTGCTTGCCCCCTGGTGACTCACAGCTTGGAGCACCGCGTTTACAGCTCATGATTCACAGATGAGGGCCACACTGGCCCAGTGCACTGTGAAGCCAGAGCTCGGGAACACTGTGGTCAGCTGAGGGCCTGGCTGCCTGGTGTGGGGGCGGCCGAGCATGTGAAGCTGCTGTGGTGACTGTGGGGTGGCCACCGAGGTCCCTGGCAGGAATGGGGGGGCCCTGCTGCAGTGGGGGCACGTCCCCGAGGGTGCGTGCCGCCCGCGCGTCCTCTCCCTGTGGTGCCCACGAGTGCTATCCCTATCCGTCCCAGGGTGGGTGTGGCCACAAAGGAGGGGAGTCTGGGGAGCTGGGATATGGGGACAGGAAGAGCCTGTGCTCCGTCCTGGTCCCCTGGGCTGCCGCCTGAGGGCAGAAGTCCAGGGAGGTGGGGCCATTCCTCCCTGGCCCGCTCAGCCACGTCCTGCTTCCCACCTCCCCACCACCCCTCCTCTCTGACAGACCCCCCACCCCGCCCAAGTCTCTTGTATTTTCCTAGGTGAGTCTGTCTGTCTGTCCTCTACTTCTGTCCCTGTGTTCCTTGTCTCTCTCTCTGTCTGTCCTTTGTTTCTTTTTCTTTATCTGTGTGTCTCTCCTTCTCTCTCTTGTGTCTCTGGGTCCCCGTCTCCTACCCTCTTCCTCCCTCCCTGGCCTCCTCTCCAGCTCCCCGCTGAGGGACAGGTGACCTTGTCTCAGCTATTGTAGCGCTCTGAGGTCCTGCACAGTGACAGCTTGGAGAGGAGCAGTGTGGCCGAGTGCTATGCCCAGGAAGGGCAGACAGATGCGTG